CGTTCCTCCAATGCCTTTAATTCTCTGTCCATGGCTTCACGCCATTTTTCCCTGTGTCCCCCCCCCAGAGCCTGCTGAACCGTCGCAGGCTCTTAAGGAAGAGCGTTGCCGTGGACTGCGGTGACGAGGCCGAGGATTTGCAGCCCAGTCTGTGAGTATCGAGGGAGTGTTGGATCCTCGGGATAAGCTGCTTCGTCTCCCGCTTCTGGGTCAGGTATGAAATGCGGCCCTATCCGTTCTGCTTCATTTGTGTTGACTGTCGCAGGTGTTACGTAACCGTTGTCGGCGAAGTGATAGAAGACTTTGGCGTTGACACTGTCGCGAGGATTTTCTTCGTCCATGGGCACGTCGACGGAGCAGAACGGGAGAGGTCCGGCTTCTTCGGATGCGTTGTCGACGTTCTGTTCATCCCAGTCTGCTTCGTCCGCTGCTGAGGCGAAGGCTCGGTCACCACGAAAGCCACCTGTGGGGTCCTGATTTTCGTGCAAGTTGGCGAGGTACGTCTGAAGGGTGAGTCGCTCGTAGAAGATCACATCACGTGCTTCTACTGTTTCCTTTGAGTGGACGTCGAAGAATTTCCATGCGTTGTAATTCTTTTCGATGCCGAGGTGTAGTCCCCACTGTGCCCGTTGTGAAAATCTTCCCGCTCGTGCTTCTGGGGGTCGGTACTGTACCATGCACCCAAAAGCTCGTAACATTTTTGTGCTGCCCTGCTTCCCTGTCCACAGCAGATGCGGTGATGCGTTGTTCGGGAGTGAGGACGACGACATCAAGTTGTGCAGCATGACAGCATGGTCCATTGCTGCAGGCCACTGGTGGTTGGGTAGCCGCATGCCACGTAGCAGTTTGCGCATGCTGTTCTGCAGAGTCCTGTTCATTCTTTCTGCGACACCTTGCTGCTGATGGGCGTAGGGAAGGGAGAGGAGTTGCTTGATTCCCCTTTCCGCCAGGTACTGCTTGAAGCGCTGAGAGGTGTATTCTCCTCCTCCGTCTGATTGGAAGCTTTTCAGTTGTGTTCCTGATTCTCTCTCTGCTACCGGTAGCCAAGCGGCGAATGCTGCGAGTGCCATATCGCGGCTGGGTAGGTTTTGGTGCCAGACGTATCGAGTAGCGGCATCGATGAAGGTTATCGTGTAGTTGTAAGTAACTTGTCCTGGTTATCGATTGAAGAGGATATCGCTGTACACCTTCTCGAGTGGTGCGTACGCGGGTGCGCTCGGGTTGTGGTGAGAAGGAAACGGTCGATGTGGTAAGTCGGCTTTGGGGCAGACGAGGCAAGTTCCTCGTGCCCGTTGAAGTTCTCTGCCGTCGGGTAGTAGTAGCAAATCCTTGTCTAGGACTCCTGCTCGTATTGTGTTATTTAACACTGTGTTGCTTGGATGTCCTGTACGTTTGTGCCAGATGTCTTCAGGAGCGCGATGTCCAGGTGAGCGTTGATACGCGTCGGAGTTGGAGTAGAAGCTGGCGACGAAGTTAGCGCTTCTGTGGAATTCTCGTTGAGTCGGGTTCAGCTGCTGTGCGGGTGTTGGTGGTGCTTCAACAACGAAGACTGGTGTCGTTGGTCCTGCTGCTGCCGATGATGTTTCTGCTGCTGTCGATGTTGTCTCTGCTGCTGCCGATGTTGTCTCTGCTGCTGCCGATGTTGTTTCTGCTGCTGCCGATGTTGTCTCTGCTGCTGCCGATGTTGTCTCTGCTGCTGCCGTTTGTTGAATCGTTGCTAATGCTCGCGTTCGTTCTGCTTCAGGGATGGTGTGCGAGTACCAGAAGCCTCCCGGGCTGAAGTCAGGATCGAGATCCGGGGGATGTGTCCAATCGACGAAGTTGACAATGGCGTCGCTATCTGCAGTGCCCAGGTCGGGGACGAAGTCGAGAACGAAGATGTTGTTCTTCAACACCGCCCTTCCGATGTAGAGGCCGCCCTTCGCGTGGTATAACTTAAACTCCTGGGTGGTGCTGTCGGCTTCCAAGTGAATGCCTTTCGCCATCAGCTGGCTGACACTCAGTAAGTTATAACCGAGTCCTTCCGCGATAAGTACCTTTGACATGTGCAGTATGACGTTTGTTTCTCGTGACTGAAGTTGTACATATGTTGTCCGCAGCAACTGTCCAAGAACCAAGTGTCTTGCCCGGACGGTTCGCTTTGAGCGATGGCGGCGTACGTCGGATTCGGCTGGAGTGACTCGCGGCGAGGCGTCCTGTTGTCGAGCTCTTCTTCCGTTGAGTAGTGAGGTGGTGACTCGGTTGTGCAAGAATCGGTTATCTTCACCATGCAATTGACGATGCTTCTTGTTCCTTGTGCAGATTGTCCAGTTGAAGTCGTTGAAGCTCGGATTGTCGGATTTGCTTGCGTCGAGGCGACTTGGGAGCTTGAAGGCCGGAGTTGTCGCTGTGGTGTTGTCTGACGAGACGGGCAGTGCGTGCGAGGGTGACCCGAAGTCTTGCAGATGTGGCAGAACAGAGGTACCGTCTTCACGTGTTGCTGTTGCCGATTGTTGTTGTTGTTGTATCGTCGCTGAGTGTGAAACGCAAACTCCGGTACTAATGTTTTCTTCTTGTGTCTTTCTTCTTGCAGGTCCATGTCCTGCTGCTCAGCATGGATTTCGGCGCAGAGTGCCGCTTCGTAGATCCTCCCGTGTGCTCGTAATATGGCGCGAGTGTAGCGCTAGTGGGGGCCGAGACCGCCGATGACCACCGTGACAAAGGTGTCTTCTGAAATCGACCCTCCGCATCGAAGAAGCTTGTCGCGCAGTTCGCGGCAGCGGCTGATATAAGCCATGCCTTTCTCGCCTGGTTTCATTTCAATTGTTGTCAGCTGCGCCATTAACCTGCTTTGATTTACGCTGTCTGTTGCTTGATAGTTCTTTAGGTGGTTGTACGCGAGCTCCGCGGAGTTGCTGTAGCCTCGGTAAGTCCTGATGTTCTGCTATTGGGTCGGGGTGATGATTCTTAGCAGTATCGTGTACGCCATCATTGATTGATAGGTGTACTGCTGCTTCTCATATTGCGTCCCGTTTGTTGGATATGGCAGGGACCCGTCGAAGAAGCCAAGAATCTGTGCTCCTTCCATCATCAGTTCGAACTCGAACGACCAGGTGAAGAAATCTTTTCCGTCGAAAGGCTTTGTCGTTTGCAGCTTTAGAACATGCGCGAATTGCGATTGAACTTGTAATGCGTCCAATGCCCTTTCTTGTCCCGGTGCAGATTGCGGTTGCGGCATGAAGCTGACGGAGCCACGCTGGGGCTCGTACGGGGCGAAGGTAGGCTGCTGTTGTTGTTGTTGAATTCCGCGTGCGTAGGATGAGCCGTCGAGACTCATAGGAGTCACGTTGTTGTTGTTGTTGCTGTTGTTTGATTGCGCAGGTACTCCTTGCTGGTGCTGCTTGTAGAAGGACATGAAGGAGAAGAATTTCTCCATCATGCTTGGATCGAAGCCCGCGGGCGTTTCCGTAGACCCAGCTGCTGGTCTCGTGGTAGTCCCTTCCTGTGTCTGTACGCCAAAGACAGGAGGTGGAGTAGGAGTAGTGCCTGGAGAGCCGTTGGAGGAGCTCCTCTCCTTCCTAGTAGACATGTCTTCCTTGTATAAAGTATTAAGAGAAAAAAAATAACTTTGAACTCTATCTGCTCTCATACCATGTTGGGCTGAGGTGCCCTAGGATCTTTGTAGAGTCAAAGTCTGAGTAGGGTTGTACTAGCGAAAGCGTTGAATAAAAGGTCTTTGAACCACCTTGCGCTGGTATGTGAGGGCAAAGTAAGTTTTTTTTAAAACAAGCAAATACAAAGGTTTATATAAGAGTACAAGGAATACGAATAGATATAATTAAAACTGTTTTGCTGTTGCGATTCGATACAGTGCGACTCGGGCAACTGCTCAATGTCGAGTCAGTTGTGTGTCCTTGCTGTCGCGCTGTATTTGTCAAGTCAAAGGTCGCTGACCTTTGACCTTCGCGTAACCTCCAGCGGTTACCCTAACCTCCGAGGGTTGACTCGTTGTGCTTCGATTCGAGCTGCTTCACTTGTGTCCTGAGTTTCGACACGACAGAGGCGCTTAAGACTTGTTATTCCCAACAATTCCGAACCCGAAACTAACTGTTGTTGGGAGGATCTACTAATCTATGACTTCACATTTTGGGGCTTGGGACACAGATGCTATTACCGTATTGAGCGAAAGATTGTGGTGGCCGAATCTCACAAGCTGAAGGACTGTATTGATTTATAGTGTGTTATCTAGAGTACTTGTCAAGAAGTTAAAGAATGACTAGTGGAGAACATTCATAGGGGTACAAGTAGTAATCCATACCCTCTACAGTACAACCCAACCTAACCTAACAATGTACATTACTAAAATCATAAGGGTACATTCCTTCCTTGACACTTGTGTCTCAAATGTATTGTGATGCTCAAAAACAGCATAGAACGTGCTATGTCACAAACGCGTGTCGCCCTAATGCGAATGTAACCCTATTTTACATTGGTCAGCGTCATTTGCGCCGGTGTTGCGGACGAGTTGGATGAGGCCCCGTCACCGCCATGAAATCGCAAGCACGATCAATGTCAAGCAATTCCACTGCCCTGCCACATGCACCTGGACGCTGGACCCCTTGACAGTTTAGCGCGGGAAACAAACCCGGCATCCCTGGGCAGCATCGAAAGGGGTTACCATTTTTTGTGATACACGCAAGGCTGCCCGACGAAACCACCACAGATCTAGAGCCTCCTCTCCAACCTGCTTCAAGGATGACTTCGATTCCATCTTCTTGGTAGTCCATTCTGTGTTTCTTGTTTCTAGGACCCGCAAGCTCAGTAGCCCTCTCAACGCCATGACTCATAAGCGCAAGAGCGCCGCTGAAGCCGCCAACGTGACCCCGCGGGATCTCAATGAGATCCCATATATTGCTTGGATGCACAAGCAGCTGTCCTCTGGGCGCAAGCCGACCGGCCCACGGGCAGTGGACACTCCTTCGCGTGGCGACACCTCTGACCAGGCCCCCCGTAACGTCCCGATGCGCGGGCGCCGTAACGCCGACCGTGTGGCTTCTTCGCGCAGTCCCGAGGCTACCACGTACGACGAGGACGAGGACGATGCAGACTACAACGAGGAGGCATACGACACGGACAACGACGCAGACTCCGGAGAAGAGCTTGACAAGGGCATGTCCGACTCCGACGCGGAGAGCGACGACGACGACGCACCGGAAGAATCTCAGCCCGCAACTCCGCCTGTTAGCCGCGGTCATGGTAAGGCGGCACCGGGGGACAAGAGCGCCATAGTTGGCGGGGAGCCACCTCGACGCGCGCCAAAGACCCGGGAGCCCATGCCGGTGAAGCGCAGTGTGTGGTCGCCCACGGAGAGCACAATTCTCGTGGCCGCCCGCTAGTTCATGAAGGATGAGCTGGAGCCACTTCTGGGGAAGCAGGGATCCCAGTATTGGGCCCGCCTTGTGCGCCACATCGAGACCGAGAATACCGGATGGGTCCGCGGCGTCAACTCCGTGCAGAAACAGTGGCGCAACCTCGTCCAAATGTACGAGCAGCTGCAGAAGGCGGACAAGGCGTTCGGCAACGGGGTGGTGTGTAAGCCGCCATGGTGGCCGTACATGGTGTTATTTCAGAATAACCGTGCAGTCGCGGCGCCGCACGCCGTCGCCGCTGGTGGTGCCACACACGTGAATGCACCGTGCGGTTTCGCGGTGCCGTCGACGTCCGCGCCATGCACCTCAACGCCCACGTTCACGGGTGAGCCATTTTCCGTTGCTTTGTTTGTTGGTACCCATAGATGTGCAACATGATTGTCATTTAACCTTTGTGTCATACGGCACAAGATCACAGCAAACTCATTCGGGCCTACTGTAACATGTGAACGTGCAGCCCCCCCTCCGGTGACGCCTCCCTCCAAGCGCCCGCGAGTAGCGGAGACGGCTACCATGGCCGCGGCAAAACTTGTCTCCGACACCATCAAGGATTGCCACGCGGATGCGATGGCAAAGCTGGAGGGGCTCGTCCGCGCCTAGATGCAGCAGGACGCCGAGATTGCACGCGCTCGCAACCAGTCGCCGGCCCCTCCGCCACCAACCGTCAATGGAGCCCCCGCGGATGCCGCCACACAGCCTGCAGCGGCCGCCGCCGAAGGCGACGATGGAGTCTGATTCCGCCGCGGTGATCACGGCGGTGGCGAAGCTACTCCGGACGAGGCCGAGGAAGTGTGGGTTCGCGGCAACGCCGTGTAATGTAGGAAGACTCCAACGCTTCACCGAGCCTCTTCTGCCTTTCACGGAGAGTTGCCTGGTTGCACGGCATGGCCGGCTCCCACTTGAATTCTGCTGCTGCGCCGCGGGTCCACCAATGATCCCGATCCTGTGGCAAGTTTGCCCATCCCTCATTGACACGCCTCACGTCCCCCATCGTCTCACACATGTTGTGCAGGACTACACAACAAGACGCCCCTGCAAGGACGCGCCACAGCGTGCAGTCATTGCGGCATGCGAAGAGCCTCCACCTGCCTTTGAAGGCGTCGATGCAGCGCTCCACTGCCATCCGCTCGCGCTCTGGCAGTAGTTGAAGCACTGCTCCCAATCCTCCATTAGGCCTTCACGGGGTGCATGCAGGGGGGTTGGGCAGAAATCCCGCAGGGGGTAGGCTGCATCACCGACTATTTGATACGGCGCAATGTCGCCGTTTTGCAACCTCTCATGTAATGCACTGTCCATGAACACGCGTTGATCGTGTGCGCTCCTAGGGTATCTGATAAGGAAGTCCCACATGATGCCGCGTGCATCGCACGTCACCTGCAACTGCACGACGTATGCGGACTTGCGTGTCCAGTACTCTTGCATGTGCCCCTCCATCCCCTTTATGTGTACATGTGTCCCATCAATAGCCCCCACTACCGCAGGTACCCCTTTCACGGCGCGAAACTCCTCGGCCATTTCGTCAACGTCATCGCGGGTGGGGAAGTGCACCCACTGTTGTTTGAAGACTGTGGCGAAATGCATCAGCCACACATCGACGAGCTCGTGGCACAATGTCTTCGACAACCCGAATAGGTGAGAAAGGTTTATGTACGAGGGTCAACTCGCCAGATACTTGATCGGCACAAGGTTTGCCACCTCGTGGGTAATGTAGTAACGGTCCACGTACGGCTGCATGTAGTGCTCCATACCCTCGGCCACGTGGGCGAGAATCGCCCTGTTAATTTGGTAAATGTCCCTAAACTCCCGTCTCCCATTCCCCGCAGATCCTCGAGCAGCGGCGCGTAACGCCGGCGCCTCAAGCTGCCTCTCCTTGTACGCTCGGCGAACCTAGTGGAGCTATGAGAGGTCGCGGTAGACGTGTTCTCGTCGTCAAAGACTTGCGACTCCAGCAAGTCGGCTACCCCCTTGGCGACCGCGTCCATGAACATGCCGTAGTAGAACGAGATCCATGCGACTAGGAGTCGCATGAGGAATGGAACAGCCCTGGGTTCTGCCATGGCTGATTTGAGTGGGGGCCATGCTGTGCATGCTTTGCGTTTTTATGTTTCTAGTTGTAGTTGTAGGTGCATTGTGGCTCTGTGGTGGTTGGTGGTTTCGCCAACTCGCCCCATCATCGTTTGGAACCCCTGGTTTAACCTGCCTGCCTGGCGCCAAAATGAGAGCGCTCGCTTCAAAAGGTGCGGGTCCAATTGCAAGTCAACAGGTGTACAACACTCTGAGTCGCTCGATGTCGCTGTACATCCTTTTTTTTTGTGACGCGTAGATAGGCAAATTTACAGGCGCGACTCGGGAAACGAGGCATTGAGACACAAGTGTCAAGGCAGGAATGTACCCTAAGTGTACACTGACATACCCCCTACGCTAGGAGGCAGAGCATAGAAGATAAGAAAAACAGAAGGCGGCACTACTACCGGTAGTCCAGCCGCGGGGGCAAAAGGCCACAAAGCCAGTCAGCAAGAACAAAAATTTGTTGGGGTCTTGTTATCACGGAAAAACACTCTGATTGCCCTGATTGTCAACAAACTATATGAGATACAACTAATTAGGTATTGCTAGCCAAGCCTCTCAGACTGTTATGTTAAGATAGCAAGCAGGAATGATTGCATTGGATGAAATGTGGGTACAAGTACTAACCCTAACGTTGGGTTGTACACCATATGGGCTACCCTACTATAGCCTACAAAGAACTAACACATATATAGTTTGACACACCCCCATAGGCAAAGTGGGGGAGAGCAAGGGGTCACAAGACCAGTCAAGAAAAGCAAAGCAAGCTCGGGGTGGATCACAACGTCACCACACACTCGAGCACAAGCAAATGGCCACAGGCCAGTTCACATGCAGAGGTATATATGCAATAACAACAGTACAGTGATCACTACCTAGCAAGAGCAAGCATGCAGGTATACATATATAGATCACAGTACAAGCAAAGTCACGAAGTGAGCAAGTGAGACGAAACAGGCACAAGGCCTAACATAGTACAAAAGCACTGATGATCACCAGACGGAAATGCCTTGGTGAATATATCAGTAGTGTTGGCCCGAGTGGCCACGTAAGCAAGACGAAGCTGACCACGCTGCTGAAGCTCTCGAGCAAGGAAGTAACGCAAAGCGATGTGCTTCGTTCTGTGCTCCAGTCTGTGCTCCTGACACAAGGCAATGGCGGTCTTGTTGTCTACGTACAGAACTGGAGGAGAACGAGGCCGCTCTCCCAAGTCGGTCAGCAGGTAGGTGAGCCAGCGTAACTCCTGTGCAGCCATGGCTTTGGCGTAGATCGCAGCCTCACAACTGGAGCTGAGAACAGAAGAGGAGCGGGTAGACCACCAAGAAACTGAGCCACAGCCAAGGCTGAAAGTGCAACCCTATGACGACCGCTGCGTAGCCAGGTCGTCAACCCAAGAAGCGTCTGAGTGCCCAGTGAGGCCAACTGAGCTCCGCCCTCCAAGCACGAGCCCCATGCCTGATATACTGCACAAGTAGCGCAGTGCCCTCTTCGCAACATCCATATGCACCTTTCAGTGCCTACCAGGAGCCACGTAGCGTGCCAGAAGGCCAAGAGGGTACGCAAGGTCAAGACGAGTGCAGGTCATCAGGTACATGAGGCAACCCACTAGCTCTGAGTATGGGCCACTCGGCTCTACGGACTCGTCCAAAGGTGGAGCTGAGAGCAAGTGACCTGTAGCCAGAGGAGTGGACTGTGGCGAGGACCAAGTGAAGCCGAAGCGATGAAGGACCTGCTGCACCATGTGTGACTGAGTCAGGGTAATGGTGTGGCGTGCTCTGTCCCGGGTGATTTGTAAGCCAAGGTAACTGCGTAGCTCACCCAGGTATGTGCACGTGTGCCTCTTCCATAGCTCCGACTTCACAAGGGCGAGTTGTCAAACATTATATATGTTGTGGTTGTTTAGGCTACAGTGGGTTAGCCTATAGGGGGTACACAATTCTAGGGTTAGGTACTTGTACTGCTTTCACTGTTAGTTCAATCATTCCTGTTCGTTCATTTCACCATGGTATAGAGCTTGTCCTTCGCTAGGACCGTTTTTTTAGGGCCCACCACTACCTACCTACCTACCTAACTGCGCCCTAGGGCGCCTCGCTCTTCACGGCCCCCTAAGTCCACGCGACCCGCGACCCGCCTCTTAGCGACCTGCGCGCCGCCCCCTAAGGCCCCGTCGGCCCACGCGCTCGCCCCTTACGGCCCCTCGCTCGCCCCTTAGCGACCCCGTCGGCCCCGCGATCGCCCCTAACGGCCCCGTCGGCCCCGCGCTCACCTCCCTAGAGGTCCCCGTCGGCCCCACGCTCGCCCCTACAGGCCCCGTACGGCCCCGCGCTCGCCCCTAGAGGCCCCGAACGACCCCACACTCACCCCTAGAGGCCCCGAACGGCCCTGCGCTCGCCCCTTAGCGACCCCGTCGGCCCCGCGATCGCCCCTAACGGCCCCGTCGGCCCCGCGCTCACCTCCCTAGAGGTCCCCGTCGGCCCCGCGCTCGCCCCTACAGGCCCCGTACGGCCCCGCGCTCGCCCCTAGAGGCCCCGAACGGCCCCACACTGGCTCCTAGAGGCCCCGAACGGCCCGCGCTCGCCCCTATAGGCCCCGTACGGCCCCGCGCTCGCCCCTAGCGGCCCCGAACGGCCCCGCACTCACCACTACAGGCCTCGAACGGCCCCGCGCTCGCCCCTAGCGGCCCCGAACGGCCCCGCGCTCGCCCCTACAGGCCCCGTACGGCCCCGCGCTCGCCCCAAGAGGCCCCGAACGGCCCCACGCTTGCCCCTAGAGGCCCCGAACGGCCCGTGACCGCCACAACCCCTCCAGGACCGAGCCGAGCCGCGCGACCCGAACCGAGCCGCCCAGTCCGAGCCGAGCCGCGCGACCCGAACCGAACCGCGCTGCCCTAACCGAGCCGCGTGTACTGTTTGAGCTGCCCTACCTGTCTCACCCTCTTACTCCTACTGCTGCTCCTACTGCTGCTACCATGGCTAGCCCACCTGTACAAGCTTTCGATGCTGAGGGCCGCCCAGTGAAGTTTGACACCTGGCTAGATGACCTGCACCTCTATCTACAGCTCACTGCCAAGGACGACATCTCACTGTACGACCACGCCCTAGGCCAAATCACTGCCCCTGCTGCTACTGCTGACAGCACTGCCCGCTCACAGTGGCAAACTCGTGACGCCCACGCTCGCTTTGCTATTCGCAACTCCTTGCCGATAAATGAGCGCGAGCACTTTGGGCAGCACAAGACTGCGCAGGCACTGTACACTGCTGTCGTTGCCCGCTACTCCTCACCGGCCTCTGCCGCACTAGGCCGTCTCTCTCTTCCCTACCTGTTCCCCGACTTAGCCTCTTTCCACACAGTCGCTGACCTCAGTACGCACCTCCGCACTAGTGAGGCTCGCTTCCGCGCCGCTATGCCTGATGAGTTCCTTGCCACGAACCCACCCCCGCTCTGGCTCACTCTCTACCACCTAGTCACGCGCCTCCCTGACACTCTGCGCTCAGTCAGGGACCACTTCCTAGCTCGCTGCCCCACTGAGCTCA